CATTCTGTGCATCTGGGTGTGTGTTTGTGTGGCAGGGGTCGCATTCGGCAGCTGTCTAGAGGGACAGGATGTTGTCGCGCGCGCGGCGGGGGGCGTGCGAAATCGTGGCAGGCACAGCACTTTGGCGATGCCGTTGCGAAATCGTGGCAGGCGCAGCACTTTGGCGATGCCGTTGCCGAAGTCGTGGCAGGCGCAGCATTCTGTGCATCTGGTGGTGTGTTTGTGTGGCAGGGGTCGCATTCGGCAGCTGTCTAGAGGGACAGGATGTTGTCGCGCGCGCGGCGGGGGGTGTGCGAAATCGTGGCAGGCGCAGCACTTTGGCGATGCCGTTGCGAAATTGTGGCAGGCGCAGCACTTTGGCGATGCCGTTGCCGAAGTCGTGGCAGGCGCAGCATTCTGTGCATCTGGGTGTGGGTTTGTGTGGCAGGGGTCGCATTCGGCAGCTGTCTAGAGGGACAGGATGTTGTCGCGCGCGCGGCGGGGGGCGTGCGAAATCGTGGCTGGCGCAGCACTTTGGCGATGCCGTTGCGAAATCGTGGCAGGCGCAGCACTTTGGCGATGCCGTTGCCGAAGTCGTGGCAGGCGCAGCATTCTGTGCATCTGGGTGTGTGTTTGTGTGGCAGGGGTCGCATTCGGCAGCTGTCTAGAGGGACAGGATGTTGTCGCGCGCGCGGCGGGTGCTCTGTAATCGCATCCATACAAGGGGCGCACGGTACATGTGTGTGGACATTTGGGAAAAACATAGCATGTGGGGTTATCCGGTCCTTTAATTGTTGTTGTTGTTGTTGTTGTTGTTGTTGTTGTTGTTGTTGTTGTTGTTGTTGTTGTTGTTGTTGTTGTTGTTGTTGTTGTTGTTGTTGTTGTTGTTGTTGTTGTTGTTGTTGTTGTTGTTGTTGTTGTTGTTGGATGTTGTTGTTGTTGTTGTTGTTGTTGTTGTTGTTGTTGTTGTTGTTGTTGTTGTTGTTGTTGTTGTTGTTGTTGTTGTTGTTGTTGTTGTTGTTGTTGTTGTTGTTGTTGTTGTTTGGTTGTTGTCGTTTGGTTGTTGTTGTTTGGTTGTTGTTGTTTGGTTGTTGTTGTTTGGTTGTTGTTGTTTGGTTGTTTTGGTTGTTGTTGTTGTTGTTGCTGTTGTTGTTGTTGTTGTTGTTGTTGTTGTTGTTGTTGTTGTTGTTGTTGTTGTTGTTGTTGTTGTTGTTGTTGTTGTTGTTGTTGTTGTTGTTGTTGTTGTTGTTGTTGTTGTTATGGTTGTTGTTGTTGTTGTTGTTGGTTGTTGTTGTTGTTGTTGTTGGTTGTTGGTTGTTGGTTGTTGGTTGGTTGTTGCTTGTTGCTTGTTGCTTGTTGCTTGTTGGTTGTTGGTTGTTGTTTGTTGTTTGTTGTTTGTTGTTTGTTGTTTGTTGTTTGTTGGCTGTTGGTTGTTGGTTGTTGGTTGTTGGTTGTTTGTTGTTTGTTGTTTGTTGGTTGTTGGTTGTTGGTTGTTGGTGGTTGGTGGTTGGTGGCTGTTGGCTGTTGGTGGGCTGTGGGCTGTGGGCTGTGGGCTGTGGGCTGTGGGCTGTGGGCTGTGGGCTGTTGCTGTTGTTCTTGTTCTGGTTCTGGTTGTGGTTCTGGTTGTGGTTGTTGTTGTTGTTGTTGTTGTTGTTGTTGTTTTGCTTTCTCTGTAGGTTGGATCACAGCAATGGATTTGCCATTGTTTGTATTGCTGTCGTGTCCTGCTAGGATGTCGATCTATTCTGCTCGTAGGTAGAAGAGTCCTGAGTGTCTGTGGATTGAAGTGGAGCCCATATCCTCTGTCAAGTAGTCTTGATGCACTGAGGATAGGACACTTTACATGTAGGGTATCATGATCCTGAAGTTGTTCTGCTTGTAGAGAACACACTTGAGCCATAGACAGGGGCCTTCTTGTTGGTAATCGTGTAGAGTTGTGGAACTGATTCTCAACAAGGTCGTAGTGTAGATCCGGTGTGTAGTCTTTTGGGCAAACGTGTGTGGATGCTGCTGAATCGATCAGCAGGCGGTGGTATGATTTGAGCTTGGAGTACATGATACAGTGTGTGATGTTGTCCTCAATATTCTTTTGTCTTTGCTTTCGTGTTGCTGCTGCTATGTCGAAGTGAAGTTGTGTTGTGTCCTCTTGTAGGAATTGTTGAAAGCTTTTGCTGTGGTCGTTTCATGATGTTGTGTGTGATGCTTTCGTGTGGTAGTGACTTTGCTGACTTTGCTTGTCTGATGTGTCCAATGCTGAGGTGTGACTGGTTGATGCCTCTACTGTAGTTTGCTGTATCTTCATAGCTGTTGGCCCAGTTGTTTTCAGAGTTGTAGCTGTTCTCCTTCGTAGTACCAGTCCCAAGTGTCGTTGAGGTAGTTCTTCATTGTTGTCCTGCTTTTTCTTGGTGGAGTTCTTCTCCTTCTCCCATGTGCCACAGGCGCTCTGCAGTCCTGGGCCCAATGGCGGTGGCATGTCATTGTAGTTGTTGCTTCCTTTTCCCTTTGATTTGCTGTAGCTTGCTTGACCTTTGTACCCTTGGCCGGACCCATAGCCTTTGGATGAGTGCCACAGGCACTCTGCAGTCCTGGCGGTGGATGTCATTGTAGTTCCTTTTGCCTTTGATTTGCTGTAGCTTGCTTGACCTTTGTACCCTTGGCCGGATCCATAGCCTTTGGATCCTGAGTAGCCTTTTCGTTTGCTCTTGTTGTATCCTCCTTTGTTGTAGCTTCCTTTGTCGCCTTGGTCATATCCTTTGTAGTGTCCTTTGCTTCTGTGCTTGCCTGTGCCTTTGCTTCCTTTGTAGCGGCCTTTGCCTTTTCCTCTGCCTTTGTAGTTTCTCCCTTTCCTCGAAATGTTGGCAACGTCTATTGGTGCAGGTCCTCCATTGTAGTTTGTGCCTACAGCTGAAGTCACTCTTGAGAAAGCAGAGATCGTCTTGTAGCAGTCCAGGATGACAGCATTGATCTCATTACAGTTCGCTTTAGTTCGTGATCTGTCCAGCTCGCAGTTGGAGCTGTTGTTGCAGTGCTCCTTTGGTCTTGTTGAGTAGTCTTGCAATCTTTACTCTATCTGGTAGCGCTGTGCCGTTGTCTTTCTCGCAGCGACTGATGTCGTATTCCCATTGCAGGAATTGCTCTTTAAACTGTGCTTCGTTGAATGTAGGTTCCAGTAATTTTGGTGAGGTAGCCAACGCTTCGTGATCCTACTGGTAGGCTGAACTGTTGTGCAAGACTCGCAGTGTTTCACATCCATTTGCGTTGTAGCGGTTTTGCCTTACTACTGTAGCTGCTGCTCCCTGACATATGTTGATGAGGATGTAGTGTGGGGCTAGGTGTACTGCTTTGCTTGCTTGTGTAGGGTCGCGTATGTGTGCTCTGATGTCTCAATTTGTCGTGTAGCTACTTGTGCCAGTTGCAAGCACCAGGTCGAAGTCTCGGTCTATGAGTCCAAGATACGCTTGTAGCTTGAACAGCCATTCAGTGAAGAAAGGTGGTGGCAGTTCTGTTCCTGCTCCCGTAGTCGTGGCTCCTGCTGTTTCTGCCGTTGGCCCATTCTCTGTGTCCTGTAGTTTGCTGCGCTGAAGCTGATGCTGCTTCTGCTGTATACTGGAGCTCCTATGTTTAGGATCTCAGCCCCGCTAGCACGTTATTTCAGACTGTTGTTTACTACAGGTGCAAGTGCTGTAATGTTGTTAACACAAACAAACCTGTAGTCTGCACAGCTCCTACTTCGCATGGGCTCTTGATGTAGTCAAATCTCAAGGCCTGCGGTCATGTACAAGAGATGTAGTACAACACTGCATGTGCATTGACATCTCTCTCTCTCCTTTTCTCTCTCTCTCTCTCTCTCTCTCTCTCTCTCTCTCTCTCTCTCTCTCTCTCTTCTTTCTCTTTGCTCCTTTTCTCTCTCTCTCTCTCTCTCTCTCTTTATCTTTTTCTCTCCCCTCCCTTCCTCCATTCGTCCATTCCCCCCTCTCTCCGAGCGGAATGAGAGTGTGAGAGAGTGATCCCTGCCTCGTGCAGCATTCCGGAGGTTTGAAGCTCACGGACTGGCAGCTGCACAGACCTCTTTAGCTCGAGCAGAAAAGTATGAGGAGATGCCAGAAATGCCGGGCAAGGAGCGGAAAGCCATCCCACATCGCACCAGCTGCTCCATGTAGCGCCGACCACCGCAATGGCCTTGTGCACAACGAACTTGCCGCAGTGTGCGCCAGTCACACAACTTGTCAATTCACACACAGACACACATACACACGTCCAAGACACTCTGCATCGCCCAGGAGAACTTGCAGTGGCACCCAGCCACAAGCAGCCACTTCACTGGCCTCGCGGTGAACAAAAAAAAAGTGTACACAGGGGGCTACCTTCTGCTATGCTCGCATGGGCACCGCGCCTGCTTTTTTTTTTTTTGAAACGGAGCCCGATGCCTTGATTTGTGGTTGGGTTCGGCTTGTTTGGGGCAAGTCTGAGCTTGTTTCGTGGGCTGGGCTTGGGTTGAAGGTTATTTTGCAAGCTTTTCTTCCGCTGGTTTTATACAGTGATGAAGGTTATTAAAGGGGGTCTTGAGGCGTCGGTGAGCGGCGGGTGGCACAAGCAAGCGAACCCTGTCCCTGAAGCAACAGCAAGTCATGTTCTCCTGCAAATGCTTCGGGCTGGCCGGCACGACTTGCTCGTAGATCCGGCAGGCCACTGCCAAAGTTCCACGGCGACGAGCAACTGCTCTCTCAGCAACGCCTGCGAATGAAGGCAAACCAACGCTTTTGGATCCTGTGGGCATATGCTCGTCTCAGACTTTGGGAGAACTGGGTGAGGTAAGTCTGGCAAAGTAGTCTAGAGAACACTCTAGTAAAATGCTTGCGCGTATCCTTGCAGCCCAGCATCTACCCAAATACCGGTACGTCCCTGGCTCATCCTTGGCAAGACGCCAGTCAGTGCCCTTGTTGAGCCATGAAGCTTCGCTTGCAAGGTTCTAAGAGAAGGCCAACTTCCTCGCGGCACTCGCGTGAAACCGCATCATGGTCCTGAGCGAGCATAGCTTTTTTTGCAACGCAGTGGTCCAGCCGGCGCTGGGGGTCCTCCTCTCCCTTCTCCACATGGCCACCAGGAAAGCCAACTTGCCCTGACCATCGGGCGCCAGATCCCTGCGACTGCGCGCGCAGAATGAAGAACACGTCCAGACCTCCGAGGCATGCTGCGTGTACAGCCAAACAATGCTCCCTCTCTTCACTGATCAGCTGCCCAAAGCCCAGCTCCCAGCCCAATTTTGCGACTGTGTGTGTTGGCCCGCCTTCGCGGCGCAAACCTCCAGAAGGGTAGAAAATCAAAGGGCAACCAAAGGAAAACAAAAAGGGCAAACGAAAAGGAGGATCCAAAACTTTTTAACTTTAGCCCTGGCTGCAAACCAGTCCGAGCAAACAATGGGACCTATTAGGACAGCCGTTGGTTTGGTTTGTGCTTGGTTTCTTTGCCTTTGGAATTAAGGGCATCTTTCATTTGCCATCCCGGTCCCTACCATCCAGCCGAACGGACTGGGCACCTTTACATCTTTACAGACTACTCGGTCAACTTGCCAAGTAGCTTGGCACAGCCCGGGGCTTAACAGGGTGTAAGCGTCTGTTCAGCAAAGCCTTTCCAAAATTTCTTTATTCAAATCTGCAGAAAAGGCATCTCTCACTGCGTGCAGCTTGTTTGATTGGTGGTTCACCACGTACTTGGCCAGGAACCTCCGAGAAAGTTCCGCAGCCAAGCGGCCGTTCATTGGTTCGCAACTCTCGCCAAAGTGAGCAACTTGCTGACATCAGCATCGCCCGTGACACCCTGGTGAACCAACTTCATGTTCGCAGTTGAACATATGCATCCTTGCAGACCGATTGAAGTTAGCTATGTGTTTCTTTCAGGGATTCAGCGATCATACAAACCTCAGGATCATTCCGGCAGACCTTCCCCTTGCCGCAGCAAGCATGCGACGACCGCGCGCTGATCGCCCCGCAAGCGCGGAGTTGGCCGTGACAAAGATGCCTCAACAAAGCCCCACCCAACGAAAAACATGTGCCCAAAAAGAGTTTGGCCCATGAGCTTCAAGCATGCCTGTCAAACATATTCTAGCCCTTGCTTGCTCGCCTGCCATGCTGCAAAGCACTGAGGCAGCCTTGCTCACTTGCCCGAGGAGATACAATCAATTTGCAGAATAGCGCTGCCAAACACCAGGGCCACTGGAGTTGCACAGTTGAACAGTTGAGAATCAAGCGGACGTAGTTTGTGCGCATATGCGCTTGCAAACTCCTCAGTTGCCAACCTTTGCCACACGTGCAAGTGCAAACCGCTCTCCCGCTATCCTTCTTTCCATCGCCTGGATTTGTGCCAGCTGCCGCGCAGCAAGGCTCGACATGGGACACACCTTCTGCTGTGTAGCCAGCAAGGCTGTGAAAACTGAGAGTGTTGATGGCAACCTTACCATGCGCTTCCCAAACCAGTCTCAACTCACACAATCCTCGTTCTTGACTGATCCGAAAGGGTCTAGAGTTTGGTTGCTGCATGCTGCATACACATTTGCGTGCTTGGAGCCATTGATTCAGCGACGGTGTAGAGCCCTTCGGTGTCAGATCAGGCAGGATCTCTGGCAGATCTCCCTCCAGTCACAGGCAATGCCTCCAGCCCAAGCAACTTCTGGAGCCATGTATCCTGCAGTGCTCTGGCTGTGCAAAAGCAACAACAGTGGGATGAAGATAATCTCTGAACAAGAACGAACTAGCACAATTTGACTCAAGGCACATCGCCAACCATGCTGTGCTGAGGTGCCCGGCCAAGGCCAACGGCAGCTGCGCGAAGCAACCTGAGAGGCATGGAGCTAGCCACGCGCGCACGAGGTAACGCGCTGTGTGACCGATCCATGTTCAAAGCTGCAATTCATTGGGCAACGCCAGGAGTACAACCCTTCGCAGTCTTGCATTGCTGGGTGATGATCACCTTAGCTGCCATCTAGCTTCCCCGCATATTTCCTCGAGTGCGCAGTCTCTACTCCAAAACCAGTTCAGCACGACAAGTCGCCAAAGATTGTCACCATCAGCCGAGGACGGCGCAAAGCCTGCTCTGACAACTGAGCATGCAACCAACATGTTCACCACATATTTGCATTATGCTTGTTGTTCTGTATGAGCTTGTGGCAAATCCGATCAAGCTACATATGCCCGCACATTCACACTCACGCACACACACACACACACACATGTGCGGGCGCACAGACAGACAGACAGACCGGCCGGCCGACCCACCGACCGACAGACAGACAGACAAACAGACAGACAAACAGATGGACAAAAACAGCCACACACACAAACACATAAACAACTGACGAACAACGTACCACCCAGCCACCCACACACACACACATTCTGTGCAAAGTGGCAGGGAATGCCAGAAAACAGTGCTTCTCAGTCGCACAGGCTTTTCCGGAGATAAGCTCGGTCTCACCATGCGGTATTGTCAGCGCCATTGGTTTTCTCCGGCGCGAACCTCAGCTATGACAACTTCCGCAATCGGGGCATGATGGGGCATGTCATGCATGCGGTGCGATCCGTGCGTGCTCCCAGCGCCCAGCATGACCCTTGGTCAGGCAGCTCTGCCGTCCGGAGGCGGTTCACTGCCGCCGCCAGCTCAAAGCGCCGGGGCATCACGTAGAATGGGCAGGGCTCACGGTGGCTCAGAGTGTCCAAGCCCTGAATGCCCACCTGCGGCAAGATTAGGGACTGGAAGAAAACACGGTATACAAACTCTTCTGCACCTTGCTAAACAACTTGGGCCCCCACCGGCTTGCCCTCTGCCTGGATCTGCTTCTCCAAGTCTCTTATCACCGCTGCCATGGGCCGATTTACTGCAAAGCCTCCACCCAGAAGCTGCAGCGCATCGCCAATAGCACGTGCCTTACCGTCTGCAAGCAGGAGTATGCACTCACCTGTTCAGACTACCTAGCTCATCCAGTTAGCTAGTTTGTTCAACCCCCCTGCCACTCGGAATGACCCAACAACAAGTTTTTGGCCTCCCCGCCTGCGAAATTTCCACCAGCTGCTCTATGCAGCTCAGCTCCACCTCTGTGCCGCCATACTGCAAGCACCGCAAGCTCCGCGCAGCGACCTTGAACATTTGAAGTGGATGTGGACTGCCCTGATACAATGGGGTGCAGACTGGTAACTTGGACGTTAATAACATTAACATTTATTGGGCTTGTCACTTTCAACTGTGTCAAACTAATTCAGTGTCGTGAGGCCAGGGCCTGGAGAATGTGCATCCCTTGCATTTATAAAGCTTCGGTCATCCTCTCAAGGCCGACACTAATGCGTAACAGCCGCCTTGCCATCAGCAGCCAGGCCATTCTTGCACAGCCGCCGGCGAGACACCTTGCGTGGCGATGGGTTCGGGAATGAAGCTGCCAGCAACCTCTGGCAAAACAGAGCGTGGGCTCAGCTTTTATTGTGAGCGGCTGGCGTGAATGATGAAAAATGGCATGTGTGCTTTATTTAAGTCAAGCGCCAAGCCTTGCCAAAGGAAGATCCATCTGCAATACCAGACTTCTTTCCGATCTCGCGGGCGCGTTGCGTGACATCCTTCACCACATACCTTTCGTGCAAACTGCCACGAAAATCACAAAGGCAAGCACAAACACCACAATTTGGGATAGCACGCGCAGCTAAAAGTGGGCAACCTGCCAATTCACATTGAGTGGCTCATCCATCATGATGACTGCATCCGCCACAGCAAAAAAGTCCCCACTACCGCCAACAACCAGGATGGTTGAAACATCCAGGTCATTGAAAAGCGGGCGGACTTTGGTCACAAAGGCGGTGATGGGCTCCTTCTCGGGCGAAACCAAGGCCTTCATCTTCTCATCCCGGATCATGAAGTTGGTGGCGCAGGTGTCCTCATCCACCAGCAAGGTACTGGCGCCCACCTCAAGCGCTTCAATGATGTTGGCCGCCTGGGAGGTGGACCCTGAAGCGTCGCCCGTGGTGAACTCGGTAGTGGCCTTCCTGCAGAAAGCCAAACGTGCCTTTGGTGGTCTCATGTGATCTAATCAAAGGTGCGGCCAAGCTACCCGAATGGCAAGTTGTTGATGAAGGGCGAGATGTCTGTACATTTCACTGATCGGCCATCCTCCGCGCGGATCTTCACAGCATGAGGGTCGCAAACCACATACTCCCGGCCATCGCCAGGAACCTTGTTGTAAATGCCCAACTGCAAAGCTTGAAGCAAAGTGCCTGGGAGATCAGGCAATTGCTCATGGCAATGAGTCGGAAGGCAAACCAACCTCATTGTGGACATTCGTGCTTGCATAGTTTTGTGATGCTGAATGCCAAGCCAATGCAAGTTGAAAGTATGACCTTTCCGTAGCATATGCCTGTTGGTGCAAAGCCGGATTTTCGTGAATCGGGCAGCCAGCCACGCCAAGTCCAAGTCGCTCTTGCCGTGAAAGCCTCCTCCCACAATCACAGTGACGCCTTTCTTGATGCCCATGCCGGTGATTTCGCCGGCATGTGGCAGGCTCACAGTCACCTCCATGGAGCTCGGGCTCTCGAATTTTACCTGACCGAAGCCAAATACGAAATCAACAACACACACACACGCAAACACAAACACACAAACACACAAACACACAAACACACAAACACACAAACACACAAACACACAAACACACAAACACACAAACACACAAACACACAAACACACAAACACACAAACACACAAACACACAAACACACAAACACACAAACACGTCCATGCATGTCAGCTAAACTGGACATCAAACGAATCTCGCCCCGACTCCCAAGCACTTCTAGAAAGTACCATGCTATCATTTATAGGGTTTAATCACAATGCACAGCAAAGGCCAAAAACTTTCTTTTTTGATCAAAAGTGACCAAGTCGGCTGAATCTTTCTTTGTCATTGGCCGGTCATCGACGCCGCTTTTCCGCGGCAGCACGGCGCCATTGCCCACAAAAGCAACGAGGCCGAGCTGGGCCAATTGACATCTGAGGTGCTCCTAGGGAAATGTGTGTGCCCATCATGGGTGACATGCGGCGGTGCGCCAACGCGGACAAGAAAGGGTCTTCATGCAGTCATGCTCCGATCTGCCTGTGCTGGCAGGAAAGCCACCAACCTTTGGGCACATCGTGTTGCACATGTGCCTGTCCTGGTCCTCCACTGCTTCAATGTGCTGCTTCAGCGCTGTGGCATCCAAGGCTTTGGAGAAGAGGGAGCCTTTCATCAGTGGCATGAAGCGTGACCGGGGTCAAAGTTTTTTGGGTGAATCAGCTGGCCAAACGGTGTGGTTTTCCGTGCGGTATGGTTTTCCGTGCGGAACACGGTGCGACAACCTGGCAACAACCTTGCGCATGGAACCAGACTTTTGCAGCTCATCCTCAACGTCATTCCCGGCAAGTATTGCATTGCTGTCTCCACTGACTACTCCCCAGTTGTAAGCATAGCAGCAGTTTGACTCAGCCTTTTAAGGTCAGAAACAAAGCACAGCCTCAGCTTTGCCAAACAAATAATGACATTTAGCCTTTCCACGAAGGCAACAGGTAGATTGTTTTGCCTAACTGTACTTGTAAGGGGATGCCAGGCCAATAATGTTCTTCATGATGTGAAGAAGGATTGGTATGGGCTTGCTTTTGGCCGTCCCTGGAGAGATGCCAAGCTCTACGCAACAACGGCTCGGTGCCTTCCACAGCATCGCAAAGTCCTCCCACGATCTCTGCAGCGCGATATCCTTCAATGGTACGGCCCCGAGCAGGCAACGAAAGCGTCACCCGCGCCTGACGGCTGCCAGCGAGTGCCTTCTAGATTTCTTTCCGTCTCAACTTATGTGCTTGCTAGGGCTCAAGACTGCTTGATACCTAGCCCTTGCGGGGACGCTGAAGAACTACAGTCCAAATTGCACTCAACTCGCCTTGCCGCCTGAGTTCCAAAGAGCAACGCACACATTGCCCAACAGAAAGAAAACAAGACACATGGCGAGAACTCAGGACTGGCTCCTCATTCTACTGGCTTGTTTCAGGCTGCTACCTCCTCGATTGGAATAAAATGCCGGTTGAGATCGTACAAAACAGTTTGATCAACAACACGTGATTTTGAACATCTTATCGTTCTGCTGCTGAAGCATCTGCAATGCCTCAACTATTTGCGCGGACGCGCCGCCAGCGATTTCAGCGGCCTCTATGAATTCTGAGTTGGCAACCACGCTGCTGCGCTCCAAGACGTACTGCCCTGGAGTGTCCTAAATGTGATTCCACAGGGCAAGTGATACGCTCCGTGCCCGTGAGCCGACAGAACAGCTCAGCTGACGCGTAGTCAGTAATGAAGCACAAACATCACTACCAAAACAACTAATGCTATATACACAAAATCAAAAGCAAACAAAAACAACAACACATAAGGGTAACACATTGAAAGAGCTCACCAAGGTAAGTATAAAGCACAGAAAGGAGCTGCAAGCAGGCATCTTATGCTACGCATCCCAAACGCCCTCTAAAATTGGCGTCATGGTCTCGCTCCAATTTCCTTGCCACGCTTCGATCTGAAGGTCTCCGCCCTTACTGCTGGCCCAGCCGCCTCCTTTCACGGTTTGGGTCCTCAGCGCTGGAATCGATGGGTCCAAGGGGTATGTAAACCTGACGTTGTTTCCTGCCTTTAGGTGCCCAAAAAGCCTGCTCCGCATTTGAGCCATTGCGGGCACATTTCATTCGTTCGTGCAAAGAACTAGCACTGGCATGGTGGAGCAACGAACACTCCCGTACACCCGCGCCCGCAACAGCAAAGCACCAGCACCCACACTCACCCGCCCGCACCCATCTACACTTAAATGCCTCCGTAAAGGGGAAGAAAGATGACAGTCGAGTAGGTGTCTTTCAAGTAAGCAAATCCAGTGGCACATCAATGGTTTCTCTCTAGATCCGGAAGCCGCTACAAGTTCCAACAAGAAGCAAGCGCAGCGGGAGAACCCCTTTCAGAAACACCACTACTTCAGGTACGTCAGTGAGCGTCCTCACTGATATCAGTGCCACGCACAAGCCTCTTCGTTGGGCTGGTGCTTGCGTGGGCAACCAGCCCCCCTGCATACTCATGATTGCAGACAACGACGTCAAGGGTGAGGAGCGATGAAAGGACCCTGCACAGATTAGCGTCAGGGTTGAACTGATGCTGAACACACACACACACACGCCCCCGAAAAATTAATCCGACGGAAAAGAAAAAGCGAAACAAGCCAAAGCAAAGCAAAAAAGGCCCCAGGTTGGGTCCCCGCGGGCAAAACTCCAACCAGGAAAGAAGAGAGACAGCGGAACCTGGCTTAGGTCACCCACAAGGGCAACAACCCTAAACAGCGAAGTCGAAGAAGAAGAAGAACACCGTGAAGCTGAAGAACGACAGGAGGAAGAGGCCACCACTAAACAACAGCACAAGGAAAGAAAGAAAGAAAGAAAGAAAGAACAAGCTCAAACTTGCTAAGCAACAGCCATATGCCTAATGGCTTCACTATATATCTATTGCATTGGCTAAGCACAAAAGCATAAATCAGAACAAACATATAATCATATACATAAAACTCACCAGGCATTCTTGGAATTGATAGTTTGTTTGTCAACTGGCGGAAGCAGAAGCAAAGGTTTGGGCCTGTGTCAGAAAGCCATGGCGACCCCCCAAAGGAATGTCGCACAGACGAAAGCATAGGCAGTGAGTAGGACTCATTGATAACGCAAGCACCGTTGGTACCACAAACAGTACTGTCAACCACCAGTCGTGGCTTACGTCCGTCTGCCTGAAAAACATTGACTCTTCCCATAGCGATCTCCTTTTTCAGTTTCAGATGATGCGCCGAGGCAATCAACAATTCCTAGACACGCCATGCTTCAGAAAGGTGCGGATGTTCTATGTATTGGGTGCGGAAGGCGTTGATTTGTACTGGCGCAGCTGGTCCACCACGCCACATATTCCAACCCCTTGCGCTCCTTCTCATTTGGGCGGCGTGCCTGGTTTCGATGTGCGTTAATTAAACGATGCTGTCAACTTCTTTCAGCTATCTTTGATGGGGGAGGTCACTCTTGGCTTCTGCCATGAGCTGGGAAGAACCGCTTCGCAGGACGGTGGTGGCATTTTCTGCCAGCCGGACTGGTCTGTTCCTCCTGACAGGGCACGTGATTTGCTTCAGTCGTTTAGGCGTAACCTCACGCATTACATTCTGGAATGCAAATTACCGTCCCGAATTCGGCATCTGGTTGAATGCTTCCCCCTTCAATCCTGCCGAGGTGACCCACATACGTGAGCTATTTCCGCACTGGGTTGCTGAGCAGGGACACGCTGGGCAGGTAGCGTGGGACCAGCCGGAGGGACAGCCATACTGCATCTATGCTTTGGAATTGCTCAGCCGTCTCACGGGTGATAGTGATACTCCGCTATGGAGTTTCCACTGGATTTGATGCAGATATTCCAGCGTCAATCGTCTTTGCACCGAAGGATGCTTCGCCAGTTTCGGATGATCTTCGCATCTGTGTGGGAAACTGGGAAGGCAACTCTCTTCCCTGTGTTCCTCCTCCATGGTCAGGTCCTAAAATTGAAGCAGGAGATGCATCAAACCTGAGCGGCACGCGGGGCGAACACTCACCCCGGCCTGGGCTTCGCCATGCCCCAGGTCAGTGAGCAGTCTGCTTATGGGAGCTGGATGCTTGCCCCCGCATGCCTTGCCCGTAGTAATCTCCTGAACACAGCAAATGTGACTGCTGACGTGCCGACAACCGCGAAGTAGGAACATCTCCCTTTTTGCTTCCCAAGAGACTTGCCCCCTTTTCCTTTCCCTTTGGGTCGGTCAAATTGTCGATTGGGTCGGGGCTTCGAAGGAGCGGTAAACAATCGCTGGGCGCGGTTAAAACAAAAAAACAAAGCTCGAGTATGCGCCACCTCCTAGATGGCTTTGTCTAGAGCCCACCCTTTCTCAAACAGGCCACCTATCTCCTTCCAAAGCTGCTGGTCGGCATATTCCACCTCCTCTGCGTTGGGACCACGGAACGGAAAGCGGTGAGATATCTTGGCAAGAAAAGCTTGGTCAATCTTGGTCGTACTCTTTCAAGGTCTTGAGATGAGCACCCTCCAAGAGTGCCACACCTATTGTGTGAACATGAAGAATACCTTGTGGGAAGCTCCTCAAAAGCTGGCCGTCAAATTTGGCACGCTTGGGTGCCCTGCCAGAGGATCCTTCCTGCTCCTCATGCATCTTGGTGGAGGTGCAAAACTTCCAGGCACAAAACCTCCAAGTACGCTCCTGAATGTTGCGGCAACGCCATGCCAACATACGAGGTCCAGGCATAACTTCAGAGTCCAGGAGCTGGAAGGATAGTTGGAAGCAAAGTCCTGCTTGCGGGCCGTCAGGGTCTGATGATACCTGGGCAGACAAGGATCAATCCATGATGAATCTCGGCTCTCCACCCGTGGGTGTACATCAGCAGTATGCGACCCCTGACTGCGTACCCGCAAAGCATCAGCAACCGAAGTGAAGCCTTAATATAGAGTCGGGACCCGGCAAAGCTAACTCCTGAAGCGCCTGATCCAATGTCCCCGCAGTTGACGCCAAGCATCCAAAAGTGAGGGCTGACTGAATATCTTCGGTGACCTTGCAGTCCTCCATCATGTGAGCAAATGGGTCGGGCTCACTCCGGCAAGCGAAGCTGTGGGTGTTGCAAGAACGCATCAGATCGCCAGCTCTGCGAGCCCGCAAGCAAAGATAAAAAAAACAATCAGGAATTGGCTCCCTACTGATGCTGATGCTGGTCCCAACCACTGGAGTCCCAGTGGATGCCTCGGCCTGCTCTTCAGCGCAAGCGGCTGGCTCAGCGGCAGCAGCCTGCGAAGTGTTGGGGAAGCCAAGCATTCATCTCGCGGACGGGCGGGTGTGAGCGTAGCAGTTCCTGCAATTGCGCGGGTGAGGTTTCATGGCCCTATCACCCGAACGACCGCAATGACCCAAGTTGCAAGCTGCACATGGCTCACGGCACTCGAAGCGAAGAATGCGAACCACCTTCCAACCAACATCCGGCACCACCACTTCCCTTGCTGGGAAGTATTGTTGCAGCTTGGCGTCTGCCCTGGAAGCGTTCCCACCAGGCTCAGCCCGTGAAGCTGGCTGCTGCGAAGCGGGAAGCGTGCCTGCGTTTTGTGTGGGAGATGTTAAGCAGCTTACTGGTGCGTGGGCTCTGGTGAATGTTCTGCTCCCTGGCGTTGCGAAGCAGGAGGGGTTTCTCCTGCAAGCACTCCATCCGGAGTCGGCACATGCGCCAAGCTAGCTCCCGGAGCTGACCCAAGTGTTGGGGTCGGCACACAAGCAGGTCCATCTGGAGCGGTCTTGTTAATGGGAAGGCCCGCTTGCTTGGTGGGTGTGGTGGGTGTGCTCGCGGTTCGCGAAGGCGTGCCCGAATTGGGTTAAGCTGCCCCCCGAAGCATCAGCTAGCCATAAGGCTGTTGAGTTCTTAACCTGTCTCCAAGCGCAGGCGAGGCGAAATGCAGCTCTTGCACAATGCAGCACAGTGTGATTGCATCCAGCCGTAAAGCATGATGTGCAAAAGCGAAGCACTGGCCTAGCAGCCTAGTGCTTTTACGCATGCAGGATGCTTGCAAGCCCCAGGCCCGCGGTCCGGAAATCTTTGGAAAGCACTCCGCAAACTGGGCGTCCCGCAGAGTTGGACACATGCAAAAGGTTGCTGGAAGCACAGTGCACAAAACTGAGTTCATCACACTGCCCTAGCTGAGATGTTGGGTGGATTTCTGTCATCTCCTGCGAAGCAGAGGGCATAGAGCAATGGAATAGCCGCATTCGAAGCCGAAGGTATAGAAGGAGAAGCACTTGAAAACCGGAGCCAATGCGGACACCCTATCAAGAACCACAGGTTTGTCCTTAACTGGAAGCTGGCCACCTCTATGCAAAGGAGTGTGTGGCCTCCATCCTGAACGGATACGTGTCCAGGTTTCTTGCTGCGCCAAAACTGTGCCAAACATCGTCTCGTCCGTAAAGGCCGATGCTATCCCGAAGCTTGTGGCGGCCTTGTTCAGACCGCTCATCCAACTTGGCATGGTTGCTTTGAAGCTATACGTGCGATATTGAGCTTTCTTTCTGCTCAGCCCATATTTCTAGAGAAAACTGCAAAGCACCTTGTAGCCTGCGCATATGACATGGGATGGAAGGTGGCCTGATCCGAATCCCAATCAAAAAGCAAGCAATCTGGTACGGTGTCATAACCGAAAGCTGAACCTGCCATAAATTCCCAAGCAGCGCGATCCAGTGAGCAACCCAGGAGTACTGGTAAGCTGAAAGGGGCGTGGATGAAAAATAAAGCGCAAATCCAGGGGACACCTACTCCAGTGGTTCGAAAGGAAGTCCCCCAAATGCATTGGCAAAATTGACGACCACTTGATATGCTGGGATTGTTCTCAAGAGTGCTCAGGAACCATCCCGAAAGGCATTCCGGGATGCTGTGATCAATGTGTTTCCACATGAAGCTGCGCCTGAGGAGTCGCCCAAAGGAGATGCACATGGTCAGTCGAATGGAGAAGCTTGAGACTATGACAGGAGAACGCTTGAGCCATTCAT